AATACAATTACTGTGCCTAAGAAAGTTGATATTATCTACTATTCAGTCCATATTCAAATTTCCCCAAATGTAAAAAGGTAGATTTTGTTTGTTTTATAAAATATATTTTAAGCCAGGCTCTGTGGCACATGCCTATAATCCCAGCCGCTCAGGAGGCTGAGACAGGAGGATTGCAAATTCAAAGCCAGCTTCAGCAATTTAGCAAGGCCCTAAGCAACTTGGCAAGACCCTGTCTCTAAATAAAATATAAAAAAGGGCGGGAATGTGGCTCAGTGGGTAAGCACCCCTGGGTTCAATCCCCCATACAAAACAATAGTGTTTTTTAAAAAATTTATTTGTAGTTGTAGATGGATAGAATGACTTTTTGTTTATTTTTATGTGGTGCTGAGGATTGAACCCAGTGCCTCACACATACCAGGCAAGTGCTCTACCACTGAGCTACAGCCCCAGCCCAACAAATCTCTTAATTCCTAAAAGAGTAGGCCACACCTTGAAGTCCTCATCAGGGGAAATATTGGGGTGTGGAGTGCTCAGAAGAAATGATTATGGTACAAGCTTCAACTTTCCAGTCTTTATTTAGAGTGGCCCTTGCATAGGTTATCTTCAGCTTTAAGATTTAGGGTAAACTAAAGGGTAAAATAACTTTTCTTATTCTCTTTTTGCTTTAATTCTTCCCTCTCCATCTTGATGCTTGGCACCTCTGCAAAATACCTTTCTATTCTGAGCACAAAGCAATGACAATGAAATGGTCTCTAGTGAGGAAAGTTAGCACATTAAAGAGTGATTTATACAATTTTAAATTTGGAAAGAATATTGTGATCTAGTCTAGCCCTTTCAACTAACAAATGAGCCATTAGATTTCTTTTTAAAATATAAGAGAATTATTTGCCTATTTGGTGAAGAAAAATACAGTTTCACTCAAAACATGTTGGTATACAGACTTTTTTTTTTTTTTTTTTTTAAAGAGAGAATTTTTAATATTTATTTATTTTTTTTTAGTTCTCGGCGGACACAACATTTTTGTTGGTATGTGGTGCTGAGGATCGAACCCGGGCCACACGCATGCCAGGCGAGCGCGCTACCGCTGAGCCACATCTCCAGCCCGGTATACAGACTTTTATGAGAGTAACTATCAACTCCTGATAACTCCTTTGGGTTATCAAGAGTGGTTCAGGTTTTGAGCATCTGTCTGATGAGCTTAGCACCTGGAAACTGCCTTCATTTTTTTTCTGGAAAAATGAATGGCAATTTTTTTCTGCATTTGGATTTTATAGCTCCTTTAAAGTAGAATGAGTCATTTGGAGTTTTACATCTTGGAAGTTGCATTATACTCTGTCATGGATATAGCACCTAGATGAAAGCTTTTTTTGTTAACAAGGCTCTCCCCCCCACCCCCACCCCCAAGTGCCGGGGATTGAGTATAGAATCTCATGCATGCTAGGCAAGCACTTTACCACTGAGCTATACCCCTATCAACATAGCTTTCTCTAACAGAATCATAACATTAGTTCAGAAATTTAGAAGATAGGTTCAGATATGACAGTACAAGTAATGTTAAAAGTTGACATTTGGTTGTGTGTTTCTCCAGTGATTTATTTCCATATAGCAGTTTGTCCTGGAAATAACAACTTCATAATGGTATATATATACATATTTATTGTGAACATGTTGGTAAATTATTATAAATTCAAGCAGCCATATACCGGTTTCCCTCCAAAAATTGGGGTGTAATGCCACACCAATACTTAATAAGGGAGTTTTAAAAATTATACTAGTAAGAAGTTCTTGCATCCCATTCTATTAGATGATCTGGATTAGAAAGTTTAATGGCTCATTTGTTAGTTGAAGAAGTTGGGACTAGATCATAATATTCTTTCCAAATTTTAAATTGTATAAATCACTATTTATGTATATAGGGTGTTTCTAGAAAGATTCAAAAGAAACTGGTAATAGTGTTTGTCTTTGGGATGGGAGAGTGGGAAACTGAGGTGTTAGGGAGATTTTCCTTGTGTTTTATTCCATTTGCATTTTTATCATGTGCATGGATTAAAGCTAATATAAAAATTGAAATATATCTTGGCAAACCTGTGATCCCACTGATTTGAGAGGCTGAGTCAGGAGAAATACAAGTTTGAGGCCAGCCTCAGCAATTTAGTGAGGGCTTAAGCAACTTCAGAGAGACCCTGTCTAAAAAAAAGGAGGCCTGAAGGCTAGGAGTGTAGGTCAGTGGTAGAATGCTCCTGGGTTCAATCCCTAGTACCTCCCCCCCAAAACAAAAACAAAACACAACTCTTCCTAAAAGTAATCTGAGCTGGGCAGGATAGCGGTAGCTGTGGCTGTAATCCCTAAAGTTCAAAGCCAGCTTCAATAACTTAGTGAGACCCTGTCTCAAAATAAGAAATAAAAAGGGGATATGGCTCAGTAGTTAAGTGCCCTTGGGTTCAGTCTCCAGTATATGTTAAAAAAAAAAAAAAAGGTACTCCTAGGCAGTATAGGAAAATTATGAATTACTATGAAAAGTAAGCTATTACAACAATGTGAAGTATATGTGACTGATAATGGAAATGAAAACAACAATATTGTGTATGTGAAGAAATTTTGTTTTTTAAAAAAATCTTTTGGGGAAATTTAGTGATAATTCTTCAACTGACTTCTTTTCTAAATTAAAGGGAACTTTAGTACAAGAGTAGCTTTTGAGACCCGAGGCCAGACCAGGGTAAACCAGTCAGTTTCCTAAAGAAAAATCAAGAGTCCAGAGGAAAGTTGAGAGTAATTAGCGCAGCAATAAAACTGAACCTTCAGGCTGGCTATGTCAGGATGGTAATGATAATAACTAACCAGGAATGCTTACCAAGTGCCAGGCACTTTGCCAAGCACTTTCTTTTCACCAGCTCACCACAGCCACATTTACTTACCCCTTGCTGGTAAGCAGTGATGCTATGAATGGAATCATAATCTGTCCACCTGACCCTTAGTACTCTTCACAGAGAGCTCTTCACACCTGCCTGACTGCACAACAGTCCTCCTTTGTTTCCTTGGTGGCTGGACCCATGCTGCCCAGGATGAGAGTGATTCTTTCTGCATCTCTGCTCTGTTCTCGCATCACCTTAGAGTGCTAACCATGGACAGAGTTCCTCTTTGAAGGTGCAACCTAATTTTGAAGAAGTCACAGCTGCCCTAGTGTGTTCTTTGATCCCAGCCCTGGACCACTCATTCACTTCCTGTTTTCTCCTGCCTACTCTGTTTACTTTGTTCCATTGTTCCTAGTACTACAAGTCAAGTTTTGTTGCTGGAGTTGGGGGAGGAGAATAACTACCAGAACTATTTCCGGCATCCCTTTAAGCCCCTGAAGTTGCAGCCCAGGACAAAGTCCGATCACACCCTTTTTAGCTGTGATCTTTTCTCCTGTGATCATTTTCCCCACCTCTTACCTCCAATTTGTCAGGAGACTAAACTATTTCCCAGAAATGCTTTTTTGCATTTTCAGAGTTTTATTGCATACTTGCATTAATTACTTAATTTTAGTTGTCAACTTATATTTGAATTTACAGAGGCAATTCAAAATTAGGGACAAAATAACTCTTTTCCTCTGAGGATATAGCTCAGTTGGTAGAGTGCTTGCCTAGCATGCACAAGATTCTGGGTTCAATCCCCAGCACCACCAAAAAAAAAAAAAAGAGAGAGAGAGAGAGAAAAATAACTTTCTTGCAGATGTCATCTGATGATGGCATGACCATTTTATAAATTGCCTAATTTGCTTTTTGGAAAAAGTTCCTTTCATGGGAACTCAGTGAAGTTTATGCAGTCACAGAAAAGAGGTTGACCCCAAGCTGTGGGGTTCTTTTACCCATAGGTCAGTCCTAAAGGAAGAGATAAGACCTCTAATGCTTAGTGCAAGAGTAAATCAGATTTTCAAAATAGAATGTTTGATATACCCCAATTTTTAATTCAGTACAAGTTTCTTACCCAGCAATGCCAACCTGAAACACCAAACTGATTAGTAGATTTGAGATTTTAATCAAAGCAAAGTATGCCTTTTCATAGCCTGTAACTCAGGATGTTGAAATGTGAAATTCTCAATATCCTTTTCTCTTTTTTGGTAAGACACAATACCTTTATTTTAYTTATTTATTTTTATGTGGTGTTGCGGATCTAACCCAGGGCTTCGCACATGCTAGGCGAGTGCTCTACCGCTAAGCCACAACCCCAGCCCCATCTTTTTCTCTTTTTTTAACATTTTTTAAAAATATGGTTTTTTAGTTTTAGGTTGACACAATATCTTTATTTTATATTTATGTGGTGCTTGAGGATCAAACCCAGTATCTCATGCATACTAGGCAAACACTGTACCACTGAGCCACAACCCCAGCCCCGTCTTTTTTAAAAAATATTTTTTTAGTTGTAGATGGACACAAAATCTTCCTTCCTTCCTTCCTTTATTGTGTTAAATCTTAACTATCTGATATGTAATGTGTGTGTGCGTGCGCGCGCGCGCGCGCGCGATGTTCAGGATCAAAACTAGGGCCTTACTCACACACTCTATAACTAAACTACATTCCCAGCCCCTAAAATGTTCTTAATTAAACCTAGACATCATTATTGAGAGTCAGTTTTGATTGTTCTTGATTTAGTTTATTTGAGTCCTTTCTACTTTTATCTTTCAAACTTTCTTCTTTGGTGGGGGTGGGGGTACTGGGCATTCCTCTATCACTGAGCTACATGCCAGCCCTTTTTTACTTTTACTGAGACAGGGTGTCTTTAAGTTGCCCAGGCTGGCCTAGAATTCGGGATTCTCCTACCTCAGCCTCCTGAGTACCTAGTATTATAGGCCTGTGCCACCAGGCCTGACTACATTTTGTGCTTTGACACTCTAGATTGCCTAGCGTTGTGACATCTCCCCATCTCACACACTCTAAAGCGTTTCACGATGGGCTGGCATGTAACTGTGCAGTGTGAATGGGTGCCTATTTTCCAACCGGAACTAATTTTGTGCTCTTTAGTTTCCCACAGTCAGATCACTCGTCTCTACAGCCGATTCACCAGCCTGGACAAAGGAGAGAATGGGACTCTCAGGTAGGCAGCTAGTGTCTTTCTTTATTTTCCTCACAGAAGCCAGAAACTCTGGCAGTGTCTGGATAGCTGCCCTTATCCCACGGGCAGACATGATAGGTGTCCAGCTTGAGGAGTCAAAGAAGCATTTCATCACCAGTCTTTGAGTATCATTCATCCATGAGGGAATTAAATTAGCAGAACAATGACACTAAATTTACCACTAGGTGTTGCTTTATTCCAGTTCCCCTTTGTTTAGGTGTCCATTGTCTGGTCCTAGGAATGTACTTTCAAGATTTCATCTCTGTGCCCATAATCCCAGTGACTCTGAGGCTGAGACAGGAGGATCACAAATTCAAGGTCAGCCTGAGCAATTTAGTGAAGCCCTTAGCAACTTAGTGAGACCCTGTCTCAAAATAAAAATAAAAGGGCTTGGGATGTAACTCAGAGGTAAAGTACTCTTAGGCTAAATTCTCAGTACCAAAAAAAAGAGAGATTTTAGCTCTTTGCTACCATTTCCCCACAGCTCTTTCCTAAATGATGATTTTTTTTTTAAGAAGCTGACCCATAGGTGGTGTAGGTGATTTTGTCTTCTCTCCTCTTCTCTTATATCCCAAACTAAAACCCTAGGGTACATGACTCTGTGTATATTGATGTTAAAACTAGACAAAATGCTTAGTATTTTGTCTAGAGCTATGATTCTAATTAGAAGGCCATTTTACCACACAGGGCAAAAGGTCTGGAGGCATTTTTTTATTGATGTGATTAGAGAATGCTACTGGTATCTGGTAGGTAGAAGCCAAGGATGCTGCTAAGTGTTTTGCAATGCACAGGATAAAAAAAAAAAAAAAGAGTTTCCATGACAAAGAATCATATTGTCCTAAATGTCAGTAGTGCTAACATTTGAGAAACTCTGCTCTAGATTAAATATATGATCTCAGAGTAATATAATGCTCTATTGTTTTGTGCTTGCAATTGTCATAGTCAAATGAAATATCTCCTCCCATCATCCCCACCCTCTCATTAGCAACCTTTTTTTTTTTTAATGCCATTGTTTTTTAGCTTTGATTGGCATTAATAAAGCTATTTGCCTTTCTAGTGACTGGCCTGAAACAGTTTGGAACTTCTTTGCAATGGCTTCTAGCACATTCCTAGAATGTAGCATGATTATACCCTTTAGGTATAATCTTTAGGCAAAAAAGCTAGAGAATGCTGGTAAATTCAGAGGGCTGTATTTCTATAGGGCAAAAATCTGTTAGCACTGACAACTGAAATCATGCTGTTCAAGTCAATGAATTCTTAGTATGTGCAAAGACCATGCTAGGTGTTTTTGTTTTGTTTTGTTTTTTAAGAGGGGGTACAGGGAGCTGGGATTGTGGCTCAGTGATAGAGCATTCGCCTAGCATGTGCGGGGCGATGGGTTCGATCCTCAGCACTACATAAAAATAAACGTGTCGTGTCCAACTACAACTAAAACAAAATACTAAAAAAAAAAAGGGGGGGGGGTAGGGGTCCAGGCTGACCTTGGACTCCATGAGCCTCCTGCTTCAACCTCCCAAGTAGCTGGGATTGAGACTGGGATGTTGCTTAGTGGCAAAGTGCTTCCCTCACATACATGAACCCTGGGTTTGATCCCCAGTTCCAAAAAAGAAAAGACAAAAAAAAAAAGACTCCAACCACCATGCCCAGCAGCTTTTTTTTTTTTTTTTTTTAAATTGTGGCACAATACATATAACATAACCAACTCAGTGGCTTTAGGTATATTTATAGTATTGTACAACCATCACCATAATCTAGCTCTAGAACATTTTAATCACCCCAAATGAAAATTCTATACTCATAAGCAGTCACTTCCCATTTCCCCTTTTCCTGAACCCCTGGCAACCACTACTATACTTTGTCTTCCTATGGACATTTTTTATAAATGGAATCATATAATATGTGATCTTTTTGGGATTAGCTTCATTCCATTTAACATGATATTTTCAGGGTTCATTCATGTATGGCATGTATCATACATTATTCCTTTTTATGGCTGATTTATATCCCACTTATGGATACCACATTTCATTTTATCCATTCATAAGTCTGATGGGCATTTATATCTGTTAGCTATTATAAATAGTCTAACTGAGCATTTTTGTGTTGACATATGTTTTAATTTCTTTTGGGCATATCTTTAGGAGTGGAATTGTGGTTAATATGGTAATTCTTTGCTTAACTTATCGAGGGACTGCCACACCATTTTCTTCAGGGACTCTACCATAAGACTTTTCCACTGTAGTGTACAAAGATGCTAGTTTCTCTATATCTTCATCAGCACTTATTCTTTTGATTGTAGCCATCCCAGTAGATGTGAAGTGGTGTATCATTGTGGTTTTGATTCGTATTTCCCTAATGGCTGATGGTGTTGAGCCTTCTTTTCTTTATTTATGTTTTGGAGGTACTGGGGATTGAACCCAGGGGTGCTCTACATACAGGTCCATCAGTATGATCTGTTTCCCCAGCCCTTGTTATTATTATTTTTTTCTCACTACATTGCTGAGGCTGGCCTCGAATTTGCAGACCTTCTGCCTTAGCTTCCTAAGTCACTGGGATTATAGGAATGTACTACTCTGCCTGACTTTGAGCTGCTTTTCATGTGCCTATTGGCCCCTTTGTATAACTTCTTTGGAGAAATGCCTATCAGTTACTTTGCACTTTTTAATTGTTTGGGTTTTCTCTTCTCTTCTCTTTTCTCTCTTGTCTATTTGTTGTTGAGTTGTAAGGACTCTTTGTATAATCTGGATATTTAACATGGATTAATAAGAGTTTTTTTATGTAATGTGACCCTTAACATTAATTCTTATCTGAATACAAGACCTTTATATATTATTTGCAAATATTTGTTTTACTGTTCTACAGATTTTCTTTTCTTTTTGTTTTTTCCTCCACTTGGGTGCTGAAGATAAAATCAACATTTTTTATTTTTTATTTTTATTTTATTTTATTTTATTTATTTTTTTTTAATTTTTAATATTTATTTTTTAGTTCTCGGCGGACACAACATCTTTGTTGGTATGTGGTGCTGAGGATCGAACCCGGGTCGCACGCATACCAGGCGAGCGTGCTACCGCTTGAGCCACATCCCCAGCCCCAAAATCAACATTTTTTAAAGATAAAATGCTAGATAAGTGTTGTACACTGAACTACATCCCAGCTTTGTGGAATTTCTTTTACTATCTTTACATTGTTCTTTGAAGCAGAAAAATTTTTAATTTTTTTCCATTTTTTATTGGTGCATTATAATTGTGCATAATGGTAGGGTTCACTATTAACAAAACTTTGTATTTTCATGGAGCACAACTTCTTTAAGTTTTTTTTGGAGTCATACCTAAGAAATGATAGCTAAGGGGCTGGGGTTGTGGCTCAGTGGCAGAGCGCTTGCCTCAAACACGTGAGGCACTGGGTTCAATCCTCAGCACCACATAAAAATAAATAAACAAAATAAAGATATTGTGTCCATGTATAAATAAAAATATTTATAAAAAAGAAAGAAAGAAATGATAGCCAAATCTAAGGCCCTGGAGACTTATCCTTATTTTTTCTTGTAAGAGTTTTATAGTGTTAGTGCTTATTCTTAAGTCCTTGATTAATTTTGAGTTGTTTTTCTCTATATAGTATGAGTCCATCTTCATGTTTTGCATGTAGATATCCAGTTGTCCCAGCATCATTTGTTGAAGATACTATTAAAACTATATGGATTGGGCTGGGGTTGTGGCTCAGTGGTAGAGCACCACCTAGCACATGCCATCCTCATTAACACCACATAAAAATAAATAAATAAAATAAAGGTATTGTGGGGCTGGAGTTGTAGCTCAGTGGTAGAGTGCTTGCCTCGTATGTGTGAGGCACTGGGTTCTATTCCCTGCACCACATATAAGTAAGCAAGTAAATAAAGATCCATCAACAGCTAAAAAAAAAAAAAAAAAAAATCAAAGGTATTGTGTCCAACTACAACTAAAAAATAAATATTAAAAAAAAAAACTATATGGATTTGTACTCGAAAGGTAACCAGAGTAGAAACCTCTATTTTTCTCTTTGTCAATTGAGGCATTTTATTTGAATATATATATTATATTTTTAGAGAATTGCAGGCTTTCTGCTTTCTGGTGCCACATCCTGAACTGCTTTCCTCTACCATACCCTTCCACCATGTGGTTCTGCCTCACCTTGAGTCCAGATAATAGATTCAGCCATCTACGAACTGAGACCTCTGAAACTGTGAGCCCCAAATAAAATTTTCCTCCTTTAAAAAAAAAAAAAGAAGAGAACTGCAGGATTTTCTCTCCTTTCGTGTTTTCATCTTGCTTCTTCGTGGTCCATAATGCCATCTTAGGCTCTCAGGACAGTGAAACCAAACTGATAGGATGGGAGCATGTCATTCTCTCATTTTTCTAGGTCTTTCAGTTGCACATCAAATCTGGGGCTGAGCCGGGTGCAGTGGTGCATGCCTGTAATCCCAGTGGCTTGGGAGGTTGAAGCAGGAAGATTGCAAGTTCAAGGTTAGCCTCAGTAATTTAGTGAGGCCCTAAGCAACTCAGCAAGATCCTGTATCTAAATTAAAATATAAGAAAGGGCTGGAGATGTGGCTCAGTTGTTAAGCAGGGGCTCCTGGGTTCAATACTCAATACCGATAGATAGATAGATAGATAGATAGATAGATAGATAGATAGATAATCTGGGACTGATCATTCCACACTTGCTTAACTTGCCTGTAAGTTTCACAGCATTTTCCGAGCTCAGTGACCATTAGTAATTTACAATTTGCCAGTGTATCCATGCTTCATCATCATAGTTAGGAGGAAACCAGATGATGGCTTTGAACATGGCCTAATAAGAACCATGTGCTTGCCTTTTAGAAGTCTTGACGATCTTGAGGACACTAGCCAGGATTCATGTGTACAACTATGGTGGTATGGAAAGATATTGGAATGAAACAGCTTTAATACTTTAATCATTCCTTTGAGTTTGGATTTATATCT